GGTGGAAGGGGCAGCACGAAGAGCCCGCACTGGGGAGAAGGCGGGGGGGGCTCTTGTGCTTAACCAACTCTTGCTCGAGCAGCCCCACTTGTCCATATATGCTCGCTAAAGCGAGCCGCCTGCAGTTCAACTGATTATAGAGAGGGACTCTGGGGCAGGTGATGCTCTGTCTTCTTGGTGCTTGGGGGGTGGGCAAGAGTGGGAGGGCTCCTAGTGTCCTGGCCCCACTGCTGGACCTCCTGATGGCCCCTGGTATTTCTGGCCCCTGTGTGACACAGAGTGTTGGACTGGATGGGCCTTTGGCCTGATCCAACATTGGCTTCTCTTATGTTCTTATGATCTCGAGAGGGGTGGGTGGGCTACGGGTGCTCAGGTGCCCGCCTGGCTAGCTGGGGTGACTTGATCTTGGGAGGGGGGGTGGGCGGCGGCACTCAGGGCACCACGGCCTGCCTGGCTAGCTGGGGGTGTGTGGTGGGAGAGGGACCCAGCCAGGTCACAAAGTCCCCCCCCCCGTGGCTCAAGGTGCTGCCAGAAGGGAGCCTCGCCTAGTGTGCAAAAATACCTGGGTCCGGCCCTGGGCGTTACGTCACGCGGCGCCGGCTCGGCTAGGGGAGAGTGCGCGGCGACTCCCGGTTTCTTTTTTCCGTCGGAAACGGGTCCAAGTGGCTCTTTATGTCTTAAAGGTTGCAGACCCCTGCATTAACCCATGGGAGGAAACAGGGGTGCTTTGCCTCACACTGCTGTTTAGTTCTGACATCCATATGAAGAAGAAAATTTTGAATAAATAAAATCTTTGGTTTTATAAATATATAGCTGAACAGTGAAAGAGACAGATTTCATTCAAACCCTTCTCACAAACACATAAAGCAGGGGTGTCAAACATGCGGCCCAGGGACCAGATCAGGCCCTTGGAGGGCTGCAATCCGGCCTGCAACGCCCTAGCTGTTTCCTGCTTCCTTTTCCAGTTCTGCTGCTGCTGCTACATCACAGCTTACTTTACCAGACTCTCTCAATTGCACAGGAGAGATAGATAAACTAGCCTCTCCTGTGCAATTGAGAGAGTCTGGTAAAGCACTGGCTGAGGCTCCCCCCCTCCCCCCAGCTAGAGCTTGCTTCCTGGCCAGGCTGCCTCAATCATATACAGGAGACAAAGGGAAGCCTTTCTTTCCTTCCACTGGCTGAGGCTTCTCCCTGAAGGGAGGCAGGGAACGAGGGAGAGTCTGTTTTTCTGGGTGCCTCAATCACATGGCAGAAATACCAGGCACCTTTAAGACCAACCAAGTTTTGTTCAAGGTATGAGCTTTTGTGTACCTTGCTACAGTGTGTGTGTATTCTGTTAGGCTCCCTATGCTGTGTGTTTGTTTGTTTTGTTGGGCTCCTTATGCCAGGGCTCTCCTTGGTGCAACTGGGTTCCCTCCCCCCTTTCACTGTGTTCATGCCCTCATGATCCAGACTTTCTCAGTAAGAACCAATGTGAACTATTTTAGAGGAGGAATAAAAACAAACCAGTGAAGTGGATTAGGCTGAGAGTGTGCGTCCAGACCAAGTTCATCCAGCACATTTCCTTTGTAGGAAGTTGTAGTTATTTCTCTGAGGAAGACTATAATTTTGTAGACAAACAAACAGCCCTCAGGCTGTGTCAGGATGCCTTCTCATGTTCTTGACCAGCACATGAAGCAACTTATGTACAAAAACTTGCAGTGCCCAGCCATTTCATGTTTCCCCTTGGGTCCTAGGCTCAGAACACTGAGCATGAGACTTCTATAATAAATGTCAATAAATCAAATCAATAATGAATGTCAGTACTCAAGATTGCTACAGCACAGACATTTTGATGCAATAATTCAGAGCAAGAGATGTCAGTTATCAGAGACTGTTAAATAAACAAAATATTGCAAGAGTAGTAATGTTTTTAGCATGTTTTTATTTGAAGTTAAAAAAAACTTTGTGTTTGTGTCCTTTATAAAGTTTATATCTCCATTATCTGGCATTACATTTTATGACACACATGGCCCAGCTCAACAAGGTCTCATTTATGTCAGACCTGGCCCTCATAACAAATGAGTTTGACACCCCTGACATAAGGTGTATTTGCTTTGTTCCCAAGATTCCAAATTTATTTATTGATTTTGACTTATGAATAGTGAAGACTTATTTGATTGAGTCATTAAGCCCACTGCCAAAAGAACAGAAGCCTTGCTTGGTTGGATCAGAGCAAAGGTCTGTTTAGTGCCACATTCTCTTTCCACTACGGCCAGCCAAGTGTCTCCAGCAAATTCACAAGTGGAACAGGTGGACCCTGTTGATTATCCCTGGCATCTGGGAAATCTGGAGGTATACTCCATCTCTTCTTTCCTAATTTGGTTAAGCCAGTTAACTTCCACTTGGCTTAGCTGTTAGTCCTATTACCTGAGCTCAACAAAACTTCCTTGTATTTCAGTTTCACAGTTCTATGCTCTCATCTATTTAAAGTGATTACAAAGAATCACATTCTGACCAAGCTCATATTTATGCCTTTGATCATTTGCCCCTAATTTACTTTGTTCCCCATGCAGGTATCAGCTACATAGTTTTTAAGAGGAGTTTGCAGTGGTGGTGGAACTATGTTACTGCTTGGCCTGTGAATGTGCTGATAGCAGTGATTGCAAAACCATCTGAAAATGGGTGTCACTGGCAAGCAGAAATCAAACCATGTGTTTTTCTTTTTTTGGTTGTCCCGAGAGAATGGATTCATTCAGAAGTGTGTTGGCTTTAAAACTGTTGCAGTTGAGATGCCTGTTTTACGAGCCAGTTTTCAAATTTTACAGCAGCCTGTTTGCAGGAGTGGCAAGTTCTTATTCAAAGCAAGTTGACTGTGCACAGGTTCCCAATCACTTATATCAAGATAGCTTGTCATAGTCCCTGAAATGCACAAGTGGACTTAAAGTCTATTTAGTGGTTTTGAATACTGGAAGACAGTCAAGAAAGCTTCACAGGGGATGAGGTCATTGTCTCAAACATGGGAAGCTTCCCATATTTGTTAAAATGTATCTGGGATAAATAACTTCCTGGATTTTCCATTGAGACGGCTCAGGAAAGGCTAATTTCCCATTGTTGAAGAGCTGTTCTTCTGGGCAGATGCTGAGAATACTGTAGCTTCTTTCAGCTCTTCAGTAAATAGTTTTCTGAGTAAAAATAAAATTAGGCTTGAGGAAAAGGTTTCATGTTGGGAAAATGAAGCATATTTCAGATGGTTCAGATTAAGTCTGTTTTACCTTTTTTGGATATGTGTTCTCACTCTTTGTGAATATATATTTAGAAGCTGCTAAAGGTATTGATTAAAGGTGAATTTAGTCCAAAAAAATTTCAGAGGAAGAGAGAATATTTAATAACAATAGCCATCACCTCCATGGATTTTTTTTTTTCATTGTTAATTGTTGTTTGTAAGAACATAGGAAGAGCTCTGCTGGTCCATCTAGTCTAGCATCCTGTTTCACACAGTGGCCAACCAGTGGCCCTGGAGGCCCAACCAACAGAGCACAGAGGCCAATGCCTTCCACCGATGTTGCCTCCTCATACTGGGTTTCAGAGGTTTACTTCCTCTGATAGGGTTGCCAGGTCCATCTTCCACCCCCAGCGGGGGACTTTGGGGGCATTCCTGGAAGGGGTGGGGCATCCCCAACGTGATGACGTCACGTGGGGGCCGCCCCCCCCCCCCCCCCGGCTGTGCGCCGGATCTCCAGAAACAGCAGTTCCCTGCACTTAAAGTAGCCGGCAGCCGGCGTTTCCCCTTTTATTTTCAACACTGCGTTTCCCTTTTAAGAACGAAGCTGGCTTTTCCCTGCAAGCTTGCGGAGTTCGCGCTTGGGATGAAACACGGGTTGCACACCCTTAAAGGGAGAGAGATGGGTGGCTGTGGGTGTTGGGAGTGGGGCTTCCCCCGCCGGCCATCTGGCTGGCGGTGGGTAGAACTCCCCCAAAAAACGGGGGACCCTTGGCAAACCAGGGGGTTTGGCAACCCTATCCTCTGAGCATCGAGGTTTCCTTTTGAACCTATGGCTAGTAGTCACTGAGGGACCTATCTTCCATAAATCTGTCTAATCCCTGAAAGTTTTCACCTGGCTCCTGTATTAAATGATTTGCATCTGAAATCTGGGCTAGGTACCTGTCTGCAGAAACATTAATTGTTGCAGTGAAGCATTGTGATTTGTGCTGGTTATGCTGCTGTAGTGGTTGGTGGATCCTACCCTAAAAATTTACTTAACTTGTGTGCCAGTTTCTAGGGGTTTTGCCTATCTACCTACTTGAGTTTTTCCATAGGAGACCTGCAATTTAAATTAATTTTCCATTTCAGCTGCTCAAGTGAATCTGGCCAGTGCCTGTGCAGGCCTCATATGATTGGCCGACAATGCAGTGAAGTGGAACCGGGTTATTATTTTATTTCTTTAGACCATTATGTCTATGAAGCAGAGGAAACTGTCTTTGGCCCTGTGAGTATCCACATTTAGAGATGGGGGGGGGGGTTGCTTTGTTTTTAGTATTCTGTAATTACCATGTATTTTGTAATCTCCACACATTCTGTTCTATTTCTACCCTGTTGGCTTTATAGTATGGCTACCAAAAACCGATCATATGAAATATCAATTGTATTGGGGGGACTGGAGTGAAAAGGCAGTGTGAAAGTTTTAAAAATGAATAAATATCTAGTGTTTTGATGAGAGGGGGAGAGAGAGAGAGAGAAGACAAAATTGAGAGGGAAACAGACAAATGAAAGGAGGACAGAGAGAGTACTGTTTTTTAATACCACACTGTTCCTTGCATTTCTTTGCCTATGTCTTTTTGCCCCTTGAATACAAATGGTCTAACTTGAACAAAAATGTAATAATTTCCCCTGTGATTTTGCAGGGAGTGAGTATAGTTGAACGTCAGTATTCTCAAGAGCGTACGCCTTCATGGACAGGAATAGGATTTGCCAGAGTTCCTGAAGGAGCATACCTGGAATTCTACGTTGACAATATTCCATACTCTATGGAGTATGATGTTTTGATTCGCTATGAACCACAGGTAAATAAATACCTTGCAGACCCCTGTTGGCTTCACAGTGCTGCTTCTGAATGGGGGATACAAAAGCCATGTGATACTTTCTGCGAGGACCAATCAGTTGGAAGAGAGTGGGTGGGATCTGTTAAACCGCGAATGGCTTAAGCTTCAGAATAGATATCTCCCTCCTCTTTCTTTTCCTGAAACCCTGTCTCTTCCCAAAAAAACACATTCACCAGGGTCTAAGACTCTTCGGGCTGTGCTAGGGGCAACATTTGCAGAAATCCCCGCCCCCCAGTACTGTGTGAGCTCTTCCACAAAGAGAGCAAAATCTTGTGCAAGAGTGGGGCATGGTGGTTTCAGCTGTTGGCTCTCTCTACAGTTGTAGCCTCCTGTACTGTATCCTACTTTATTCTTGAGGGTAACCCAACCCCCTGGAGCAGATTTTTTGGGGAGCAGGAGGGTGCATGTATTGGATGTTGTAACTCTGCATGCAAGAGGGAAGGGAAAGGTTTAAGAGAATTCTCTTGTTTGGTTACACTTGGCAGTTGCCCCCCCCCCCATCTTGAGGCTCTTTGGCCCTTGCTTGCCTTCTGTTTCATCTTACATAGGACCTCACTTGTTCTGTCTCTTACCTGGTCTTGGAGCTGTAGCAAGTTAACCTTTTTGAAGTTAATCTAATCACAGTAAGTTAAATATACCTACATCAGTTTGTCATGTAAGATGTGCTTCTATTTTTGTAAGTAAAAAATTCTTTCTTTTGTTACCATTGGAGTCAGATCATCTTTGTAATTTGTTCGAACAGTGTTTTCTCTTAACCAGGAAACATGGGAAATTGGGGGGGGGGGTACTGTGTAAAGCTTCTATGCTTCCAAGGCAAGTTATTTTTTTTATATTTAACTCAATAGCATGTTAAGGTTAAGAGCCTCCCCTGACTCCACTCAGCCTGGGATGGCCAACCTTAGTGTGGGGAGAGGTCCTACGCACTGCACTGAGGAGGTTTAGGTGCCAGGAAGCATCAGATTGTGGGCAGGGAACCTCGGCCCTACCACCTATTTGGGGAAGAACCAGAAGATGGCGGATGAAGCAGCTGCAGTGAATGGCTGCAGCCATGGGAGACGTCATCAGCAGGCACTGTCTTCCACGAGGCCTTGAAAGACCCAGGGAGCCCAAACAAGTGCCCAGTGTGGTGGGGAAGGCTGTCAGCCAATGGGAGGAGGCAGGAGGGCCACAGTGAGGGGGGCAGAAGTGAGGGGCCTGGCTGTAGCCAAGGTCTGGAGGCTAGACTCGTTCCAGAAGTCAGGCTGAGCCCAGCGGGGTAGAGAGCCAGAATGAAAGGGCTGCAGCCAGGTTGGGAAGCTGCAGAAGGGCAGCCTATGTGAAGGGGATCACTGGCAGCATGATGAGGGAAGGGCACAGTAGTAGAAGGGGATTGGTTGTCAAAGTGGGGGTGGAGCAGCTGGATCCTATAAAAGGCGCACGGCCATACCTGGCTGAGGAGGATGAATGAGCTTAGCTCAGACAGGAAGGCAGGAGAGAAAGCACACCAGAGACAGCCTGGGAAAAGGAGGAACTGGGTGGTTTAACCCCCTCTCTTTTCCAAGTCCCGAGGCCAGAGGGAGTTTGGACCTCAGCCAGGAAGGTGGGGAAAGGTGGTGTTCCCTCCATGGGGCATGGGAGACTTCACAGTGCAGTTCAAAGGCTGGTAGATGTATTCTGTGAACATTTTTTGTTCAGTTTAGTGGCTCTAAGCCAGGGGTGGCCAAACTTGTTTAATGTAAGAGCCACATAGAATAAATGTTAGATGTTTGAGAGCCCCAAGACACAAACAAATATTACATGTTTTTTTGAAAAATATGCAAATTTGCTTTTTGTTAACATTAAACAAGGCTGCCAAAAACAAAAGGGGTAAAAACAGATATTGATTATATTTGTTTGCTAATGATATTTATTTGTCTAAAAGAGAGAGGTGAAAAAAATAATGAAAGAGGTGGAAAGAAAGAGAGAAAGAGACAGAAAAAAGCAAATACATGTGGAGGGGGAAAGAAGGAAGAGAAAAAGAAAAGAAGGAAGGGAGAAAGAGAGAAAAAGAGAAAGGTGTGGGGAAAGCAAATAGATGGGGGGAGGGAGAGGTGAAAAGAAAGCAACTTTAACTTTAAATGCATCCTCTAACACACACCCCTCCACCGGCTGGCTTGGCTTGAAGAAGGGATTTAAAGAGACAAATGCCTTCTCCAAGCCATTTGGGGGGGGGCTTTGAGAATGCATTTATAGTTAAAGTTGCTTTCTTTCTTTCCCCCCCACCCCCACATACCTCAAGCCTACCTAAGGAGGGGAATACTGGCTGGGGAAGAGAAGACCAATCGGGAAGGCTTCCCCAGCCACCCTGCCGGGAGCCACACAATATGTGTGAAAGAGCCGCATAAGGTTCCCAAGCCACAGTTTGGCAATCCCTGCTCTAAGCCATTGTCTTTTCAAGACATTTGAAAATCTACCAGTGTGGAATGAATTAGCTTTCCTGTCTAATGTCTACATACACAGAGATATTGTAATATCTACAAAGTATTACCTAAGTCCAAATCTGAATAGATAATTAGTTATCTGTCTGTATGAGTAGATGTGGAAAGGCTGCATTAGAAATAAACATCTCTTAAGTGCTAGTAACTCATAATGGCAATTCTGGCACCTGCTTTGCAAGGGGCCCTTTAGGCAGATCAAGGCCATGTATACCGTTGTCATTGGATTGCATAAACAAAGATTTCAAATTTGTGTATTGTTTCTAAAGTTAATATTTGAAGATGTGTGGTGGTGTTTATTTTAGGATGTGGATTTTGTTGACGTTAGTAAATTTTTTGAAGCCTAAATATGAGTACATAATGAATAATGGAGGGTAAAGTTCCTGGATGTCATGAGAAACGTGGATACCATCCTGCAGAGCTCAAGGATTCCAGGCTCTGGACACTGGAAACTGGAATCTTCTTCAAATCTATTTCAAAAACTATGAGGGCTGGAAGCTTGGCTTTCTGTCTCTCTCCCTCCTCTAAAACCCCTGAAGTTTCCACCCTCCTGACAACTTGCAGTGCGGTCCATTATAAAAAGCTGCTTACACTGGCCATTTGCTATAGTTTGCAGTGACTAGATATTATTGTGTAACCTGTATCACCTGTATCACCAAAATTAGTCCATATCCACGCAGAGCACCTTGTGTATATTTTGTATTAATGTGGACTGATTTTTCTCAGTTACCAGATCAGTGGGAAAAAGCCATTATCACAGTATTTCGCCCAGGCACGATTCCTAGCAGCAGCAGATGTGGTAATACCGTTCCTGATGATGATAACCAGGAGGTATCATTACCTCCAGGTTCAAGGTGAGTTGACAGTAAATGTGCAGCAGTGGACTGGGAGGTAGAATGGATTCCAGATAATTGTCGATCTGATGCTAATCCACTAATTGTAATCATACTGCTTCTTGTATACACCCTGAGTATTATTTTTATACCCGCTTAGAATGGATCAGGAGCTGCAGTGGCTCAAGTGGTTAAGACCCTGAACTGCAGGCTGTGGAAGGTCAGTAGTTCAGCAGTTCGCGACCCGAGTGTGCCGCATGAGCTCCCATCTCTGGTCCCAGCTCCTGCCAACCTAGCAGTTCGAAAGCAAGAAATTGCAAGTAGATAAATAGGTACCACTTCAGTGGGAAGGTAACAGCGTTCCGTGCGCCTTGGTGTTTAGTCCTGCCGGCCACATGACCACGGAAATGTCTTCGGACAGCGCTGGCTCTTTGGCTTGGAAACGGAGATGAGCACCCCAACCCTAGAGTCGGATTCGACTGGCTTTCGAGCAAGGGAACCTTTACCTTTATAGAATGGATCATTTTCTAATGTTGCATTCCATTATCAATGCAGATATGTAGTCCTTCCGCATCCAATATGCTTCGAAAATGGATTGAATTACACTGTTCGTCTGGAGCTGCCACAGTACTCCTACGATACAGAGGTGGAAAATCCGTACACTCTCATTGACTCAGTAAGTGCATTGTAATTTCTGTTGTATTATTTTATTGAAAAATAAGGATATGTAGAGGTTGAGGATGCAACCTGCCTTCTTTTATTAGTGTTATTTTTAGCATAAAGTACTTTTGTTTGTGAAGCAGCCTGGAGGGAAGGAAGGTCAGTTGATCTCTCCCCATGAGGGATATTAAACTCTTCATGTTTGTGATGATGGTTAGATGTAGCACTGTAGGCCCGGCACACTTATCTGCTCACTTGGACGCTTACAGGAAGGAAGGGGAGGAGAACGGATACCCTATGGTATCCTTGATATACAGCTCACAGAAGTGCATGTATGAGAAGACATGGATTTTGCCCAGGGCTGTTTTTCTTTGTGGTTATTGCTCAGATTTACATATGGTTATAATTGGTATCATTGCTTAAAAACGTGTATGTTTCAGAAATACAGAATTCTCCTGCTTGAGTGCAACTCAAGGTTTTAGGAGCGGCTCACACTATAGTTCAAAAGATTGAGGTTGAGGGGGAAAACCTGTAGGAGTTTTTTGGACTGCATTCTTTTTAACAGATACCATATGTTGATCTGAGCAAGATCTTTTGAAGGTGCTGCCCTGCAGATGGGTAAGATCAGTGGCTGCCCGTACCCAAGCATTCTCTATTGCGGTGGAATAACTTACCCAATGAGGTTAGGAAGGCTCCCCCATTAGTATAATTCCTCGGAGTGTGTAAATTAGAACTTTTTTAGAAGGGAGTTTCTACAGAAGAGATACTGATGTAGTTTTAATGTTTGTTGAAAGTTTGGTTTTTGTGTTTGCTGTTTAATTTTTTTTTTGTAATCTGACTTGGGTCTTTGTGAAAAAGGCAGACTATAAATGAAGAAATAAATAAAGTACAATCTGATATTTTGAATTAAGCTTTATTAAGTATTTGTCTGAAACATAGTGGGCTTTTGAACAAGACCAAGTTTACATTTGAATAATAATAATAATCCTGCTGCGTTCAACCTCATTCCATTCCCCAGCTTGTCCTTATGCCTTTTTGCAAATCGTTGGACATATTCTCAGTTGGCGGAAGAGGCGATGATTTGATGACTAACAGTGCCTGGGAAACGTTTCAGAGATACCGGTGCCTGGAGAACAGCCGGAGTGTTGTTAAAACACCCATGACGGATGTTTGTAGGAATATGATTTTCAGCATCTCAGCTCTGCTGCATGAGACAGCATTGTGTAAGTAGATGTAACTGATTTAGAACAAGGTAGTTCAAAGTGAGGAGCTGCGGTGGCTCAAGTGGTTAAGACGCTGAACTGCAGGCTGTGGAAGGTCAGTAGTTCAGCAGTTCGAGACCCGGGTGCCGCATGACGGAGTGAGCTCCTGTCTCTAGTTCCAGCTCCTGCCAACCTAGCAGCTCGAAAGCAAGAAATTGCAAGTAGATAAATAGGTACCACTTCGGTGAGAAGGTAACAGCGTTCCGTGCGCCTTGGCGTCTAGTCATGCCGGCCACATGACCACGGAAACGTCTTCGGACAGCGCTGGCTCTTCGGCTTGGAAACGGAGATGAGCACCGCAACCCTAGAGTCGGATTCGACTGGCTTTCGAGCAAGGGAACCTTTACCTTTACCTTTAGTTCCAAGTGGGATTCAAAGCTCAATTGGGGATAACTAGGAGGAAATTGTGTTGACTCCTTATCAGCAAACCTGGCTTCACCATAGAAGGTGGCATACAGTTCCAGCATGTAAGTAGTAAACAGAGCAGCTGAAGAAACAAACATTGGCCATGAGAAAAAAGGTGCTTAGGGGGAACATAGGCTACAGTTTATTAAAAGCTGCTCGTGTCTAAGTCCCAAATAACGTCTAGTTCAGTGAATAGATTTTGTAACACATTCTACTTTTATCCCTCCTTGATTCTGTTTAAAGATCTCTAAATCCCAGGCATTGTTTCTGTTCTGGTGAGGTTTTGTCTAAAAAGGATCGTGGCTGACCCCTGTACTCATTCACTTTTTAAGTTATTGCTAGAGCCAAAATATACTTGTGCTTTCCAATAATGAAAACTATCATCAAACAACGTGAAATCAGTAAAAACAACAATAAACCAGTCAGTAGGATAAAATAGCAGCCCCAAAACACACTGAAACAACTTCAGTGGGATGGTAGAAAGATAAAATAACTACACATAAATACCATATAAGAGTCCTTGAAATGTGTAGTAGGACATTTTGAGCTTGTGTGGTAATATAATGTTCACATCACTAATATCTATCATATCAGAACTGTAAATGCTAGTCCTCTATTAACAACAATTTCCACAGTGGTTTTGTTGCCAAGATGGTCTACACTTTTGTATTTCCAAACTTTTGTTTTCTTTCCCTTTTTTCAGCTTGCCAGTGTGACCCTCAAGGTTCATTAAGTTCTGTGTGCGATCCTAATGGAGGCCAGTGTCAGTGTCGGCCAAACGTGGCTGGAAGAAGATGTGACAAATGCGTTCCGGGCACTTTTGGATTTGGACCTAGTGGATGCAGATGTATGTTGTTTTGTCCTAACTCAAAATTGCGGATAGGCAGGGGAGAGTCTGAGCACCTTGGACGGAAAGCAGGATAAAGATGCAAATAATCAATATAATTGGTGTTGCTTATTGAAATCTCAAACTGCCTGTGAGAGGGGGGAAAACCCTTTTATTTCAGTAAACCTGTAAGAGTTCTTATGAACTTAAGTATAAACCACTCATCTTCCAGGTGTTTTTTGATTAAGACACTCTAGCCTTCAGGTCCTAGTGACGTAACTTTGTGATTGACAGTCTTGTGTCCGGTTTTAATTTTATTCAAGTTGTCTCTGTGTTCTTTTTAGTTTGCGAGTGTCACGTCCAAGCTTCTGTCAATCCCTTCTGCCACCCGGAGACTGGACAGTGCCCCTGTTTCCATGGGATATATGGCCGTCAGTGTGACAGATGCTTACCGGGTTATTGGGGATTTCCAAGCTGCCAAGCCTGCCAGTGCAATGGCCATGCGGATGATTGCGACCCATATAGTGGGCAGTGTTTAAATTGCCAAGATCACACCACTGGACACAATTGTGAAAGGTACTGTTTCTTTTGACATCTGGTTGGCTGGTGTATTCATTGAGTTGGATCCCACGGAAAATTTCCACTGACCAGGGGGAGCAAGTTTTGCGAGTTCCCCTCCCCATCTCTCTTGTCAGCCTCCAGCTCTCCTCTCATACTGTTCCTGGTGGGCCTCTGTTCCCCACTAGCTGCATTTTGAGGGATTGTTTTGGGCTGCAGTTGTAGAGGTGAGCAAAGTCCTATTCTGCTGATGGAAACTCCTTCCTACAACAGCAATGTACTATGGGGTACAAGCCACTGGATGAAATAACTAGTATTCTGCCCTCTGCAAAGTAATTCTACCCTTCCCCCTTACTTTTTATTATTTATTTATTTACATTATTTCTAGTTTCCCTTTCTCACAGGGGCTCAAGGCAGATTACTCAGAGTGAGTCAGTACAGTCAATGAAATGGGATGTTCAGTAAACAATGCACTAGGATTGCAGAACCGGAAGTCTAAAAGGTGGAACTGAAGTATGGGCATATGTATTAACATGACACATTAAGTGGTGCAAAAATTACATAATAGGATCCTACTGACAGTAAACTATACAACGGTATAGACTGCAGTCCCTAGTCCTTTATCCAAGTAAGTTTGTAAATCATTTTGTACAGTGCAACCCTATTGCCTGTGTAGAAAAGCCCTCTTGAATCGTTCAGTTTTGCTTCCACCAGTGGGAGCCTTCCTGATCTCCTTGGGCAGGCCGTTCCATAAGGAAGCCACACCAAAGAAAGCATGCGTTTGAGCAGTAGCTGATTCTGTCCATTTGCCGGTTGGCGCCTGCAGAAGGCCCTGCTCTGATTAATGAAGCTGTCATGGCAGAGCATAGGGGCATTTGCATGGGGCATATTTTCATGTTGGGTGCAGGTTGAGACACACATTAATTGTCACTTGTAGTCTGGTTTTCCTTCTTTGGTGCTGTTCCTTCCCAATCTTTGTCATTTGAATAGGGAAGGGTGGTTTTTCCTTGAAAAGGAGTGTTAAGAACCATTAGGTTTATAGGCCACAGCAGATGTCAGCTGCAGAAAGAAGGGGGCGGGGAAGGCTAGGATAGTAAGCGTGAGAGTCAACCATGGCTTGATCAGATCTCTGGAGAGACGGAAATGTGCTAAATAAATAATAGAATTTTTGCATATGGTTTGCCAGTACCAACATTCCCTCCTGCCTTCCAGGTTCTGAATTTAGAATCATAGAATTATAGAATCATAGAGTTAAAAGGGACCTCCAGGATCATCTAGTCCAACCCCCTGCACAATGCAGGAAATTCACGAATACCTCCCCCTCCACACCCGCAGTGGCTGCTGTTCCATGCCCAGAAGATGACAAAAAATCTCCAGGATCTCCAGCCAAACTGGCCTGGAGAAGAATTGCTTCCTGACCCCAAAGTGGCGATCAGCATTTCCCTGGATGTGTAAGAAAGGGCCACAATAACTAAGCACTGATGCAACCCTTCCTGCCCTCCTTTCTTGTGATCTGCCTAAGTTCACAGAATCAGCATCGCTGTCAGACGGCTGCCTAGCCTCTGTTTGAAAACCTCCAAAGAAGGAGAGCCCACCACCTCTCAAAGAATCCTGTTCCACTGAGGAACCGCTTTAACTGTGAGGAAGTTCTTCCTTATGTTTAGCCAAAAACTCTTCTGGCTTAATTTCAACCTGTTGGTTCTGCCAGTGCAATGGCCATGCAGATGATTTGCAACAGAAAACTCCATACCATCCTCTATATGACACTGTTCAAGTACTTGAAGATGGTTACCATATCACCTCTCAGTCGTCTCTTCTCCAGGCTAACCATACCCAGCTCCTTCAGCCTTTCCTCATAGGGCTTGGTCTCCAGACCCCTCACCATCTTCGTTGCCCTCCTCTGGACACATTCCAGCTTGTCTATATCCTTCTTAAATTGTGGTGTCCAAAACTGAACACAATACTCTAGGTGAGGTCTAACCAGAGCAGAGTAAAGCAATACCATCACTTCACGTGATTTGGACACATAGAGGTTACAAGAAGTAACCCTGAAGAAATATATTAGTATAATTTGGTTGTAGTATTGCTGTCAGTGGCAGCTAAATTTGGAATTTTAGATTGGTGTGATAGAAAGAACTCAAAACATACAGGAAGGAAAAGGTTCTCAGTTACAACTGATTGTGCACAGTGTCCATGTGTCAACTATGGGATGTTAAGGATGTTGAGGTTACTCCAGCTTTGTGTGCATGGTGGTGTGTGCAGATGCCATGAGGCATAAGTAACACCCCTCCACCACCACTAGTTTGAATCTACAAGTGCATTTTTGTATGTGGAAGACATTGTTCACTCACAGACAGGCTATTTTATGCTTTGCACTACAGTGGAACACAGGAAAAGTGACACTACTGCAAAAATGTCTTTCCACGTGCAAGACATTCTGCAATCTCTTGCACAAACAAAGGTATGAGCATGTCTACAGAATCTGCATTTGCAGTGTTGTATTAACACTTGTTCAGAGGATAGTCTCAGTGGATATTTTCCTTCTGGTTATGGTTCTTTGGATCCAACCCATATTTCTGTGCTAAAAAGTATTGTAATTGGATTCCCTCACCAAAAAGTCTCTGTACAAAACTTTCCAGAATACATATCAACATGTGAATGAAAGTGTGTTTACGTAACATGAGGAATGAAATTGGCTAGGCTAGCTTCCGGTTTTGGCGTTCACAATGGCAGCCGCTTTCTCCCGATCTCCGGGAGATGACTGCCAGAGCCCACGGTGAGGAGGGGGTGCGACTGCCCGCGGCACCCCCGGAGCCTCCGCATGAGGCTCCTAGCCATGGGGTACTAGAAAGCTCTTCCTCCAGCGACCCTGCCGGCGAAGGGGGGCTGTCTCTGTGCCCTGAAGGTCCCACCGCGGAGCATCCCAAATGGGAATCAGAAACCGCAAGATGAAATGCTTGGTGGCCAAGCGATTTAAAATGAAAGCGGATTTATCGTTGAATCGTGAGTTGGAGTTTAAGCGAGAAACACTGAAGAGCTAGTCGAAAACCCACCCTATGAAAGCGAGGGGAGTAGGGAACTCTCCCCCGCTAAAAAAAGTTAAGCGAATCTTGTGCAATTACGAAAGGGGGGGGTGGACTAGTGAAGCAAGAAAGACTGAAATAAAAAGCATTTAAGAACTTACCAAGCTGTTTAAAGAGTATCAGTGACTGTGATAACTTTTACTAAAAGTAAACATTCCCCAAACATGGCGCCCACGAGAAAAGATGAGAAAGACAAACAAGTGAAACCTAAGCTTCTTGCCGGAACTGCTGGCCCAGCGAGTCCTGCTCCTAGACAGGACACAACCACTGAGCTGCAAAAGATGCTGACGGAAGCATTGCGACCTCTGCTGGAACAAGTCACGGCATTGCATAGCAAATTTGATGCACAGCAAATGCAATTAACTGAAATAACCAAAAAAACAGATAAAACTGAACAAGAAGTAAAAGAAGTGGATGCCAACACTAAAAAACTTAAAAAAACAGCTGCAGGCAATGGAGGAGTCTCAACTGTTACAGCTACAAATGGAGAAAGCAAAGCTATGTCTTAAGATTTCAAGGTGTTCAGGAAGAAAAGATTGAGAATCTGAAACAGACTATGTGTGATGTATTAGGCCCTATGGCAGACATAAAAACAGATACTCTACAAAACAAAATAGATACGATCTATAGGTCGTATTCTGAATTTACAAGAAAAAATAATCTGCCAGGGGAAGTGATCATAAAATTCTCTAGAAGACAAGTGAGAGATCAAATTCTTAAAGCAACAGACGGATCTACCCTGAAAATCAAAGACAAAGAAATAAAAGTGTTAAAGGACATCCCATTTGAAATAAGAAGGAAGAGAAGGAAATACAGAGACTTGATGATATTTTTACAAAAGACCAACATCCCCTACAGATGGATTGTTCCCGAAGGCACAATCTTCAAATTCATGGACAAGAAAGAAAAAATTGACTCTCTTGCAAAGGCATGCGAATTTTTACACCAACACAGTCATCCATCAGGAGAAGTAGAAGTCGAGAAAGAGGACAGCACCAAAGAAAGCGAAGAAGAAGGAGCAGTGGCATCTTCAGATGAGAACTCAGATTCCAAATTAGGCGCAGTTGCCCCGAAGACAAGCTACCTTTTGAGGGGGGGGGGGGGTATAAAAAATGAGATGTTATTACACTCTGAAAGCTCTTACAATGTATTGTTATAATTATTTCTTGGGTTGCTTTTTAAGAAGTCAGAAGTGGTAGTGTTTAAATTCATTTTTCGGTATAAACTGACTATTAGATTACCACATTCAATGAACTTGAATCGAACTTTGAGCTAAAAGCTAATTTGCTACGCAGTATGTATGATCACCATCTCTTGGGGTTTTAGTGGGTTTTATTTACTTTCTCCCATAGTATGTAGATCCCCTCCCTAATTTTCGTTGTAGTTTATAGAAAATGCAAATTAAAAAATCCCCTATGGGGAAAAAAAAGAAATTGGCTGGGCTTGGCATCTTTTCTGCTAACATCAGAAAAGAGCCAAGTCAAATATCTGTAAAATAGTGCTATTTTCTTGCCGGATAGTGCTATTATAATATTGCTAATAGTGGAGAGTGGCAAACTCTGACTCCCCTGTATGCAATCAGTTGCTAGTGACCCAAGATACCTGTATGATATTCCTTTAGTATTCTTAACAGATCTTTCATTTTAAAATTAGATGCCTTGGTGGTTATTATGGTGATCCTGTCCTGGGATCTGGAGATCACTGCCGCCCTTGCCCTTGTACTGATGGGCCAGAAAGTGGCCGCCAATTTGCCAGTGGCTGTTACCAAGATCCTGTCACACTGCAGGTGGTTTGTGTCTGTGAGAAAGGCTACAAAGGTAAAGTATCTGGTTAATACAAGTGACCCAAGACTGTTCTATATTTGTGGTCAGGGAGATGAGAGAGAATGGAGGAAAATGTAGGGGCATTAGGACAACCTCTCATGTTTTTAGTATTTTTAGTGATTGGGATGTGTCCTAATCAAAGGTCTTGGCAACCAGGTTGATACTACGGAGCAAAGAGAGAATATGTTTATATTCGAAGAAACTAGTTTTCATATTGTAGGATGTAAGCTAGAGTCACTCAGGACTCCCTTTCTCAGGTTAATGTTCAAAAAAATTAAAACAATGGCATCAGTATTGACTGGGATCTGGGAGACCCAGGTCTGAATCCCCACTCTGCCATGGAAGCTTGCTGGGTGATCTTCAGCCAGTCATTCTCTCTCTTACAGCTTCAAGAGGGGATTGAATAAACATATGGAGCAGAGGTCCATCAACGGCTATTAGCCGCAATGTATAGCTGGAACACTAAGTCTGGGGCAGTGATGAGCTATATTCTTGGTGCTTGGGGGGCAACAGTGGGAGGGTTTATGGTGTTCTGGCCTCGCTGGTGGACCTCCTGGTGGCACCTGGGTTTTGGCCACTGTGTGACATAGATTGTTGGACTAGGTGGGCCATTGACCTGATCCAACATGGCTTCTCTTATGTTCTTATGTACTTCACTGAGCTGTTGTGAAGATAAGCCTCTTGGGTCCTCATTGGGGAGAAAGATGGAGAGAAGACTGTAGAATTCTGTTATTTTATTACCAGACATGGTCTCTAATACTTAAAGTGACACAAAGGCCTTTGTGGAACAAAGCAGTCAATGAAAGGGGTGAAATGTTTATTAAATTTATACCCCAGTTTCCAGCCATGATCAGCGGCCAAAGCAGTCTGCAAAAATGAAACACGCATCACAAAATCCAGGAGCGAATATCTAACACCAGTAAGGATCTATGAATTATCAAGCCAGTACACAAAAATGTAGAGAAAAATAGTTAAACGAGTGATAGGTAATAAAATTCTGGGATGGAATTAGCCCCCAGCTCTGTTTTCAGCAGTGAGAAAAAGGAGGCATTGGGGAATGCAGTCAGTGTTCCAGATCCTCTTAGCACTGTAATGGTGGCCACTGCAAGCCCCAGTCTGGGGGACAGGTGGGATAAAAATCAAATAAATCAAGGGCCACACTTGCCATGGGTTTAGGGTTGCCAAGTCTGGATTGGGAAATTCTGATGATTTCTTCTGTGCTTGGCTGTTGAACAGGGAGCAGGTGTGGTGAATGTACTTCTGGATACTTTGGAAACCCCGAGGAGATCGGAGGGGCTTGCAGGCCCTGCCAGTGTAACAACAACATTGATCTGACTGATCCAGAGGCCTGTGACAGAAAAACAGGGTTGTGCCTGAAGTGCTTGTATCACACAGAGGGGGGAAACTGCCAGCTGTGTAAATATGGCTATTATGGACGGGCCCTTCAGCAGGGCCGAAGTAAGTGGGGGGAAGGCCTTTGCTTCTGACCCTTGCTTGTCTCCTTTTAAGTTTTAGGGCATTTCTTAGAGCACCGAATGCCAGGAATCTGCAAATGGAAAGGTCAATATGAGAACTCAAGCCTAGTTTGAATAGGCTCACTGCAGATGGTGAGGCTTTTCTGATTTAACCTAATACCCTGGAACTTAATTATTTAGAGGCAATCTTAGGTGTGCACAATGTTTACAATGTTTTGAAACGGTAGCACTTAAATGAAAAAGCTCAATAGCGGGAGAAAGAAGATGGGTAGTTTTCGCATATCCTGAAGAACAGAGGCCTTTGTGAGAGATGAGGCTTTCTTAATAGCACTCATTGTTCCCCTCCTTTCAAGTTAATGAGCCTGGCCATTTCCTGCTGCTTCTCCCTTCAGTCTGTCTTCAGAATCGCTCTTACTATGCTAAAGGGCAGAGTAGTAGATTTTTTGGCATTGTGGGAGGAGTAGGATCATCTTCTAAATTAAGAGAAAAACAGTCCCTTTGTAGCACCTTTAAAGATTTGCCTGCCTGAATTTGTCATATGTATGAAGGGATGACCTGTGGGTATATACCATGAATGCGTTGAGGGAATGATATATGTTAAGAAATTGTTATGTACATTTAAAAGCTCTTGTGCAGTTTCTTTCCATGCAGTGAGATGTAGCTCTGAAACTGTTGTGTTTAAACATACTGAATGCTCTGTTTCGTTCACTGTTTTATCCTTAGAAACAGTCCTGTGAGCAGTAGCACTCTCATTTTAGGCATGAAGGGACTGAATAGTGAGAAACAGGGCTGGTTCCTGCTTTTCCTAGTGACATAGCATTTGACTGCATGTCTTTTAGCTGTTTTCCATGTGGCAGTGGGCTTGTGTGGTTTTCTTCTGTAGCTGTGGGGCTTCCACATTGCAGGTTTCGCCACATTTCCTGTGCCCCAGTTCCACAAAGCGGCCATTTCTCCTCACACGACTGGAGGGCTT